ATATTGCATGAGCCAGCTTCTCAGTGGGACCCAGCATTTACTTTTAGCCCTTGCAGGACTGGAGGTATCAGACTTCAGCGTCAGGGGGTTAAATCCTGGCTCAGCTGATGTCAGTGGGCGATTTGCCATTGACTTCAACAGGCCCAGGATTTCACCCGTTATTTTTCTGTATGTGAAAGCTAATTAGCCCCCTTTTCAGAGGTTGAAGCAGTTCTTGTGTAACCCTGCACAGTTGGACTCATGGTACCTGGCTTTACAGGTGAATGGGTTAAAAAAAAAGTTCCTATACATTTTTTAAAAACTCTGACACATTTGTAACACAATGTTTGTGTTAAATATGTTGTGTATACAGAATACAACATACTGTGGTGTGGTGTAAAGATTTTATTAGCACTTGTTTTGCGATAAAACTTTTATACCACATCACACGATCATACAGTCCCTGTATATGAGCCAATATGTACGTACAAATGCATATAAATAAATGGTATATTTCTATACGCATATTAAGTTTATAAAACTCCATTTTATGCTAACACCCACACGTTAGTTACAAATTCATGCTTTTACTCCTCCATCTCTTTCATTAAACACACACACAGGCCATTGCTTCTCCTTCCAATATCTTTAATTAGCTTATTTTCCCACTGCTTGAAAATGACATCACACTTTTTATTTGTAAATGTCTGATAAAGCTTTCACCTTAAAAGGGCTGACTGTACAAAGATTGTCAATACAAAGTTTAAAGACACCACACACAAAAATGACATTTAAGGCCATGTTCAGTTTGCCACACAAACAAAATAACAAGGATGTTCAATATTAAGTCTGGCTTTTCTCTTTGATCCTCAAGTTTTGTGCCTTTAAAAGTGAGGCCCACTTTCTATGCCATAGACTGATGTGTTTGTATATACCCTGTTTCCCCGAAAATAAGACAGTGTCTTATATTAATTTTTGCTCCCAAAGATGCGCTAGGTCTTATTTTCAGGGGAGGTCTTATTTTTCCTGGAGCTTTGGGGCCTTATATTCCGGGGTGGCCTTATTATAGGGGAGGTCTTATTTTCGGGGGATGCCTTATATTACAGCGAGAGGCAAAACTGGAAGTAGGTCTTATTTTCGGGGGATGTCTTACTTTCGGGGAAACACGGTAGATCAAGCTCCTGAATTCAAAGTAGGGTCAGTGGTAGGTAGCTTTTAGCAAGTCCACCGTTCTTTTAAAATGTTCTCTATTTATTTAAAAAAAGGTCAGGCCACATTCTGTCTCACTGGGAAAAAAATGGATTCACATCTGGGTGACTAAGAGCAGACTCTCACTGAACTTATTTAGACATAGGAATGCTTTGTGTTTCCTGTAAGGCACAATACAGCCCTGCATATGAATGGCCCACGTTAGGGTGGAACAGAGTGGGCCCCATCAGGAGCTCAAGGAGGCTCATTGCCTCATAGAGGCAAAACACTGTCTAAAGGGTGAAGTTCACCCATGTGTACAGAGCCAACCCAAAGCCTAGGAAATGCTTAAGTTCCATTCAAGCCCTATTTTCATGGTGTATGCTGGGCTTAAGAGGTTTTGTGCTGGCCTTCTGCATGGGGGTGAATTCCACCTACCCCTTTGGAAGGGAGGGATATGGGGGTTGGTGGTGACATGTATTCATTTCCCAAGCTGAAGTGGGGATGGCCTAGGGCCATAGCTCTGTCCTCCACCCCAGCTGAGGGAGCTTACACTGCTAGCGGCACCAGTCTCACACAGACCTTATCCCCAGATAAGCACAACTTTGGCCAACATTTTCAAAAGTGACCAGTGGTTCAGGGTGCCTCACTTTTTGATTATCCAACCCGAGGGCCTTTAAAGGAGGCTGATGGTCAGAGGGTAGGAGCTCAGCACTTTGTGAAAATCAGGACCATTAAGATGTCTCAAGTTGGGCACGCAAAATCTCTAGTGACTTCTCAAAATCTTGGCCAGGAACCACAATTGCTCTTGGCTTCTGCACAACCAATATCTTGATGGCGGTGGTGGACTACCTGCGACCGCCTTCATTTTTTTCCTATTACCACCCTCCTCACAACTACACATATGACTAGCATTTTAAAGACCGGAGCTTTGAAGGGCACTTGGTGAAGGCCTACTTCCAAGATGGAAAAGGTAATCCCTCCATTTGGACCAGCTGGCAACATTTTAAAGTTTTTCATTCCATTAAAGAAGATTATGAAGCTCCAGGATGAAAGGGGGCAGAGAGGGTCAATGGAGAATAAGAACTCTATTTGGGATGGAATACAATGACATATGCTAAATACATTGTCATTTTTGAGTTAAAAGTAATCTATCAGTACCTGTCAGAGATACTGCTGCCATCTTGGCAACGTCACGTGGCAGTCTCTTGTGGTTCACTCAAAGTGGGGCCACACAGGAGTGGTGAGTCCACCATACTTTTAAAGCAATTGCAGTATGGCTATTACAGCATGTCTGGCATGTGACAACCTGCGGTCCCTGCCTACAGCACCCCAGCCCAGAAAGCGTTGGAAGAACTATCCCCCTTATCTCTGAATTTGGATTTGTGTCGTGCCCTTAACATTGCTTTAATGTGCATTAGCTTTGTGCAGGTTATGGTAACAAAAATACCAAACTTCTCATAGACTGGTATGAGAGGTAGACACAATAGATGGTGACATTTCTGCCACAGCCCTTACAGCCTCTCATGGAAATACCAATTTCCTGACTTCTTATAACATAGTTGATGTACATAGAAACTGCGCATAGACTTTTCTATGTGTGGATGGCTCACCCAGTAAACTGCAGCCATTAGCAAATCTTGGTTAAATCAGTACTTACAACACCCCAGTTACGCACATGGACACTCATTCATGATGCTCACTGAAACCGAAGGGACCCATGCACCAGCATCCAAGATCTGAATGTAGTGACTAACTTTATGGCCTTATGGAATCAAAGCCAGTCTGGGTTCTCCTCTAACGGAGTGAAGGTTTGACTTGACAGACCATCTACAGTATGCACACAATAAGGGGTATAATAAACTGTACTCGTTCCACTCCCATTACAACCAATAGGAATGCAACACAGGGAACAAAGGTACAATACACCCCTCGCTGTGTTATTCCAGAGCCTGTGGGTGAAATTCACACCAGTGCAGAAGGCCCTACTCATCACTTACAGGCTCCAGCCAGTCAAGCGCTGAGCTCTCTGGCCATGACCAGCAAAGCATTTAAAACGGTGCTGATTTTTAAGTATCTGAGTATTCCCATTAACCTCAATGGGTCTGATCTGATGGATACTGAAGCCAATGGAAAATAACCACAGCGCACCAGGCCCTATGTTTGCAAAGTTACGTGCTTTGGGGGATCAAGGCCAGAGTACTTGGGCCCTTGCAGGATTGAGCCATAAGCCCTTAACAGGGGGCTTAAGTGGTACAGAAGGCCTTGTGCAGGCTCCTCTTGCTGTGGTGAATTTCATCTCTACTGAATGTTTTATGCTCAGAAGCTGCTTTTAGGGATCAAATAATTTGTCCAGACTTGCAATTTTTTTCTCCCCAAAACACTCAGAGGCAGAAGTCCACTTGATGGGCTCATGCCTAGGAACATTTCACTTTTAAAACATTTTTTTGGAAAAGGTATTCTTAATTATATCACGGGTCTCCAGTTCACTTCTTATAATGTTAACCACAAAAAAATCAACCCCCTTTTTAAAATAAACAGTGAAACAAGTTTTCTTGTGGTCTGAGCTCTTTGTTAATGAGGCCAGGATAACATGGGGTGCAGAGGCAGTGATCAATCCACAGCAAAACTTTCCGAACAGGTTATAAACAGCACAAAATAGCAGTTTCTATTGGAAATGATGGCACCTGGAGTGCCAGAGATGCTGCTAGAACAATTACACATGGCTATTGTAAAAATGCATACAAACATATGACTTTCAATTTGGTTAAATAAAGTACTGTTATATGTTACATTGCTTATATTTGGAGCATGGCACCTATAAGAACCTGGAAAAAACCCACAATTCATCTTTATTTTCTTTGATCAAAAATATGTATAGAAATGCCTGTTTTGAGGAAAATATCATATTTTTTTTCTTGTTTAACAAAATAAATTAAATATACATGACTTCTGTTTAAACTCTATATAGAATTACAAAGGTTTTATATTTGTGATTGAATTCATTTCTAGTCCATATAAGTATTTAATATGGTCTTTCTTTCTTTCTTCTTTGTTGTTTTAAATGAAACTGAAATGAGATTGTTTGAATCAACTGCAAAACATTATCTGGAAAGAAAAACCACACACAACCCTAGGTGCATATTTAGCAAATTCATTCTTCCATAAACAGTTATTTTCTCTCTTTCTCTCTCTTTTCATTTTTACTTGTTCGTTTATTTTTCATTGACACAGTTAATCCAGTAGCTTGTCACTATAAGCCATGAAGATCTGACTGAAAATCACAGCTAGCGGCATCAAAAATGGGCATCATGTTTTCTTTTCTTGACCTTCAGCAGTTCAGTTATTATTAATTATTATTTCTTAAATATAAATATAAAGTTGCATTGTACAATGTCCTTCCTTCCTTCTTCCTGGCAGTAGCACTGAGTCATAGCATTGGGGTGAGTTGAACATTTTTAAAGATTTCAAGCAGTGCCCCTTTGGGGAAAACACAATACCCTTGATTTGCAGAAATGGAACCAGCCAGCTAAGTTATCACGAACTGTCAGGCAAAATTACTGCTGGCGAGATGCATGTGGAGTTTCACGTTGTAAATAGAAATGCGTTTTCCAGAAACTCTTCTGCTTATTTTTTCATTTGAAATTGGGCAATTGAATGTTTCAGTTGATTACAGTCTCCTGGTGCTTTGGCACTACACCTCAGGTACTTCCAAGCTTCAGCCACTCTGAGATAAAGAGCTCTTCTGTACATTCCCAAGGGTAAGACATCTGATGGGCCTTGCACCAAAACAGGTGGCATGTGCTAGAGGCAGGAACTGCAATATCAACTGCAATATCATCGTATTCTCCTCTTCTTCCTCTGCTTGGCAATGCAACAGGCTCCGTGGTGTTTCATGTCACAGCTTCCTGCCTTATCTGTTGCCATCTTGATTTAGACATACAAGAAGTTTCCATTGTTTTAGATGGCCACCTTCGTGCTGAGATTGGGAATTCCTTCATTATTCCTCATCTACATCCTAACGGTAATAATAACAACAACAACAAAAATCTCTTTCTCTCTCTCTCCCTCCTCTGTCCACTTTGCCTTTTGCTGGCAGTGTTAGCTGACTCGAAGCAGTCTGTTCTGAGGTACCGTGAGAAAAAAGCACCAATAAGCTACGGTCTCTGGCTGCCCTTTAACACTGATAATGAATGTGCTGATGCTGGTGAACTTTGCCTTCCACATGTGAGTGCGTGTGAGTGTGGATGTCTGTGTAAATCTTTGGGTACATTTTCGATGCCACGGCTGGGGCCAATGCAGGCCCTTGGGATAGCAAATGCTGCTGGTGGGCTACGTATTCCTCATAGTTTATGGAGGAGATGCAGTCTTTGTCAGGACCCTGGGAGACACAGATCCTGTCTCTGGCCTGCGGTCTGTGCACGGGCGCTGCAGCTGGGGGAGAGCAGGGCTTCTTTTTGGCCTGGCAGAGCCACAGGAGGATCGTCCCGAAGATGAAGACCGCTCCAGCGGGGATCCCGATGATCACCGGCCACGGCAGGCTGCTAGCAGAGGACGGGGCCACAGGGGCGCTCGGTGGCTTGGGGTCTGGACATCAGGTTTGCATGAGAGAGAGAGTGTGTATGTTACAAGAGGGAAAGGGAGAAATCGAAAGAGTTAATTAAAACCAGGAGAAGGGGATTCAAAACAGATGTTAAGCTAAGGCTGGCTTTTGTATAGTCTGTCTGACAACCCCAGCCATGCCAAATACAAGGGGGACACACTGCCAACATCATAATGTTTTGCTGCTGTTTCTCCTTTGAAAAGCACTGAAAGGACAAACAAATCAATTTCTTTGGTTTAAGATGGGGGGGGGGCTAAAAGTTTTTTTCCCCCCAATAATTCATTATGCTTTAGTTCCCCAGTTCTAGTGTCCTCTTCAGAGCCAGTCCAACAGATGGTCTCTCAGCCCCAGCGCTCAGAGATGGAGCTGGCTTCCCTGCCCAGACCGGAGGATGAAACGCAGGCCATGTCAGCTGCCCAGCAATTGGACCTGCATGATCTGGTTACGGAGAGCAGAGGCCTGTCCCATATTTGCCTCTGCCAGACACGTCTCTGTTCATTAAGTCTTAAATATCCCTCTCTAGTAGCAATCCATCTTCCTGTAGCTAATACACACTCAGCACTGCTCCGGCTATGGACCAGGCAGGAGTGGTACCTTGCAGGAGCGGTCTCTTATGTGGGCAGGTTTGGGACAGGAAGAGGCAGGCTAAGTAGCATCCCTCCTGCAGCACCTCTTTGTGCTCTGCTGAGACAAGGGAGGACTAGGACTTTGTGTGGGATTCCCAGGCACTGCAGAACTGAGTGTGTGCACTTGTTCAGGACAAGCCAGGGTTGGGAGTCCCAGCTTTAGGTAAGTAAGAAGAATCCCCTATCAGCCCTCCGCCATGTCTGCGGTTACTATTCACTTAGACACTGACCCACTGTGAATGGCTCAGGCCCTGATTCACTGCACCTGTACAGTGCCCCCTGAGCAGGATTGAGCCCTTAGTGACAAAGGCTTACATTTTTGTTCTCACCAGAGCAGCTCACTGCGCACAGCACTTTATATTTTTATAGCACTGTCGCCACTGAGAATTTAATTGCAGATAGTCAAGAAATGCAGTTGATTATCCCTCTTACAAACCTCTAGCATCCTGCATTCATGAACATGTTATTCCATTTAAGCCCTAGTGAGACAGGCCGAAATGGCACTGTTCAGAATCAGAGCCACACTCCCAAATTTCAGGGTTTAGGTTCCGGCCCACTTTGCATAATAGTAGACTTTGTATAATATGCATCCAGGACTCAATTAGTGGTGCTGCGGGAAACACAACTTTGAATTACCTAATTTAGGCACATGCCAGTGACCATTCCTAGTTACAAAAGCACCTGAGGATGTGCTGAACTGTAAACCTGTGCTTAATCCCATTGTCTTCAATAGGACTTACACATGTGTAAGTGCTGTGCTGAATAGGGATCGACTTAAGCACATGCTGAAAGCTGAGTCGCTTTGCTGAATCAGGGCTTTCAGGGCCAGATTTTTAAAGGTATCTAGGCACCTAAAGAGGCAGATAGGTCCTTGGTGGGGTTTTCAAAAAGCACCTAGGTGCCTAACTCCCATAGGGACCTGGGTGCCGAGGGGCTTTTGAAAATTCTGCTAAGCGGTTATCTGCAGCTGTAGCTACCTACATAACTTTAAACATTTGGCCCTAAGGTACCAGAGCTCAGATAATGTGACGAGAGGTGCCATATAAAAATCTGAGATGACGCATACAAGATAATTTGTGAATTCGCAATCATAATCTTGTACTCTCCTGTACAATATTTTCAGATGTGTGTAACTTTCTTTCCAAGCCAAACTTCTTTAAAGAAGTCAATGACTTTTTTTTCCCATTGAGGCCTAAATCTAGTGTTAGTTTGAAATAATACATGTAGAGCTTGTTTTGTTATTTCAGTGCAAAAAAAATCCCACCAGAAAAACATCTTTTTTTTTTTTTTTTTTAATGCTCTTTTTTTACTATAGGACCACATTTCCACCACTTCTTTTCCTCTCCTCTCTTCTCTGAGCTGCGATGGCTCTGCAGGGCGGAGGGGAGGAAAAGCAAGGCCAATTTCTTTTTGTCACTAAAGCCAGCAGAGTCTGGATTATAAAATCACTTTTCGGAGCAGAAAGAGGGCAAAAGGGACAACGAAGAAGTTAGACGGGAAGCCCTAGAATGCTCCTGTGCTGCAGGTCTCAGCCACAGAGCGGAGCACAGGGCAGGAGCAAAGAGGCAAGCCGTTCTGAGCTCTGCACTTCAGCTCCCAGGGGATCATCAAATAAGAAATTAACAAGCCTGGCATATTCTCTTTCACACCCATTCTTCTCCTGTGGCTGTGATCCTTACGCTGTTTTCATTCTTCTCTGTTTATTGGCTTGTTTCATTGTTTCCTTTTACCAACAAACCAATTAAAAAAACAAACGGGGAGGGGAGGGGCATTCAGCTCCTTGGAGCGCCTGGGCTCACTTTACAGGACGTTGCACAGACGGCATCACAATACGACTTCCCCGCCCTGCTCCAGCACAAAAGCAGATCAGGCATTTTCAACCCGGTTATTTAACCTTGCCGGAGCCGTTATTTATGCACAAGGAGGCTCAGGGTGGAGATCGACTCAGACACACCCCGGGCAGTAGAAAAATCAGCATAATCTGGCCACTCACTACAGCTCGCCAGATCCCGAGCTGTGTAGATCAGTGACGCTCCACTGAGGTCAATGGAGCAAAGCTGATTTATACCAGCTGAGGATCTGGATCCGCGATTGCAAGGATGCCGCAATGCAGAACACGCTGGCCCAGGACAGTTTAGAAGGAAAGTTCCAGCCACCCCACACTCACCTGGCAACACTGTGAGGAAAGCACTGCGGAAGCTGTATCCCATTGTGTTTGCCCCTAGGCAGATGTACATCCCAGCGTCCTCTTCTTTGGCTCGTGTGATCATCAGTTTGTTTAAGTAGGAGCCGTCCGGACGGGACCAGACCTCCCCAGTGGGCAGCACGACAAACTTCTGCCCCCCAACGTCAATGGTGGAGTTGTACTTGTTCTCTGTGCCGTACTCCACCCTTTTCAGCCACTGGATGACGGGCTTGACGTCGCTGCGGACCTTGCACTGGAACGACGTGGTCCCGCCATAGTCCACGGTAGTGTTCACAGGGTGCGTTCCCGTGAGAATGGGTTTGGACCGAGTCCTCTCTGCAAACAAATACAACACGTGATGAAAAATAAATGGTGTTCCTCAATCCGATTTGTGATTGTTCAAATACGGATGCTGCAAACCTCTCTGTCTGTGCTGAGGAATCAGGCCCTAGAAATCTCATCTAAGAGGTATTTTCCATCTCTCTTCTTATCCTATTATCCCAGCTACCTACTGAGCTAGGGGCATCGGTATTCAGCCACCCAAGCCCCACAAGTGTTACAGGGAGTCACACCGTTCAACCCCAGAACTAACTAGTTTCCCTCCTGCTTTAAAGAGGACGCTAAACTGTCTCTCGATGGTAACACAAGCTCAGTTTATAAAGCTGCATTTCCCGGGTTGCATGCATAGGACTAGACATTGCAGGTGTTCAATAATGGAGGGAGTGGGGAAAAGGGAAGACATCAAGCAGCCTTCCCCCCACTTTGTACTGTGCATTCAAGGTTCTGGCCCATGTGAAGTCCCTGTGCTCTCTTGAGTGCAAGAACTGTCCCCCGCTACTACCCCTCAGGGCGCTGATTATCCCAAAAAGGAGAGGCAAGGAGGAGGATGGGCCATGCCCCCCTTGCTGAGGCTGGCCAGTGTAGCTGAATGGCCTCAGAGGTGAAGGCAGGTTGCATGCTCAGAAGGGGTGCTGCAGCAGCTGCTGTCCTGACTGCATCCTGAGCATGGATTGCAGCTTTGTAGGAGCAGCATTTCCCAGAGCAGGGCACAGTTGCCAACTTTCACGCGGTAAATAAGCACCCCGACTTTCAGAATAATCAAGCTAATCCCACTTCAAAACAAGGCCCAAACAAGCCAATCCCTAAGAACCCCAACACTCTATGTGACTAGATCCGCCCGGCGTGCAGTCTGGGACTGTGGTGGGCCTGCTATACACTCCTGACTGTCTCCGCCCCTTGCCCCCCCTTGCCCCTGCTTGCTGGGAGCTGTTCAAAAAAAAGAAGCAACAAGCTACAAGCCAAACAAGCAACAAGCAACAAGCCAAAAACTAGCCAACAAGCAACTCACAAGCCAATTAAGCCAAAAAACAAGCCCAATTTCTCCATTTTTTTCGTGGGTTTGGCGTGTCTGCCACAGAGGCATAGTGCACAGGCCTCTGCTTCATGGTGCACTTTGACCCTCAGGGGTATAACACATGCAGCGTTATTCTCTGAATCTGGAACAGGGCAAGTAAGTGTCCTGAGCCAGGGTGAAAAAGGGCAAACCACAGGGACACTTTCCTGCCACTATTCCAGAAAGAAATGCAGGGAACCTTGCAGGATAGTGTAGCAAGGGTGGCAACCTAAACTGATTGTTATGGCAAAAGTGCCCCTGGCATTAATCACGATGCTGGCCCATCGCATCACCAGGCTAGCTCCCTGCTAGGGTGGCAGCTATATATAATGTTAGGATGTTTCCATGGGGCAGTCCTGCATGTTCCCTGCTAGATCTGTAGGATATGGTGTGCTTTAGCCACGGGGATCTACTGTGAGTCAACGGGAGAGTCACAGGTCCAGGCTGTTGCTAGCTCAGTGTGGGTATGACAAGAGAGGGAAAGGAACATTCCCTCTCCTTGCACAGGGCAATCCCTATCTCTCCAAAAGCCCCCTAGACTTACCAAAGAAGATGGGACAAGGCCACTCCACTTTCCACACTAGCCAGCTGATGGTGGGGAGTGCAGGGTGGGTGCATCCTGTTAATGGGTGCAGCAATTGCCACTCAGGGGCATGCTCCCTGCAGTGCACTGGGAGGCGTGCTTCATCACTGGGGCTGGCAAAATGCCTGTGGGAACCTGATGCTGATGGGGAGTCCTCCACCTTTCCCCCACTTTCCTGGCTCAGGGAGGCTTACACACCAAGTTTTAAGCCCAGAGATGTTAGGGGTGGGAAAGACTTCCTAAGTCAAGTACTTCACTTCCACCTGCATTAATTCTTACTTCATCTAGTCCAGGGGTTGGCAACCTTTCAGAAGTGGTGTGCTGAGTCTTCATTTATTCACTCTAATTTAAGGTTTTGCGTGTCAGTAATACATTTTAACGTTTTTCTAAGGTCTCCTTCTATAAGTCTATAATATATAACTGAATGTATGTAAAGTAAATAAGGTTTTTAAAATGCTTAAGAAGCTTCATTTAAAATTAAATTAAAATGCAGAGCCCCCCAGATCGGTGGCCAGGACCTGGGCAGCGTGAGTGTCACTGAAAATCAGCTCAAGCGCTGCCTTTGGCATGCGTGCCATAGGTTGCCTACCCCGGTCTAATTGCAAATGTGCTAAGCATGGAGAAGTCACCACTTCCCATGCTGTTTTCTGAGGAGAACTCCACAGCCGTCTTGCTTCCATACCCAGCAAGGAAACCTTCTCTGTCCTCTGACCAACTCACCTCAGGAACACTCCCAGATTCTCCTGCTGCCGGGGAAGCAAGATACCATGATAGAAAATCAAACCCAGGGCTCCCGAAGAGCATTAAGACTAGCTCACCAGACCAGCCTATTATTATTATTTATTATTACTAGAACTCAGCGGCCTCAGGCAGGGACCCCATTTTGTCAGGCACTGTAAAAGATGCTGAATAGATTCCAATTTCACATCTGGAAGTCAGTATTTACCACAGTTTTCAGAATAGCAGCCGTGTTAGTCTGTATCCGTAAAAAGAACAGGAGTACTTGTGGCACCTTAGAGACGAAGAAATTTATTTGAGCATAAGCTTTCGTGGGCTACAGCCCACTTCATCGGATGCATCTAT